CCATATACCTTGTGTTTATTATAAAGAAGGGATTCCTTTAACTTGGAAAATCTTAGGAGAAAAAGAAAAACCTAGCAATCGTTGAGCACTATGACACGTCAGGCATAAAATCAGGTATTTTTCATATGCTACCACACGATCTAAAGAGGCAAATAGACAAGATAACAACAGTGTTACAAAATAATAGGAAAGTGCTGTTTTAGTAATACAGAAATTCTAAATACTTCTTTTTTACTGTTTTAAACCAGCTTGGAGAGGTTAAATCATAGTAGAACAAAGATTCCCTTCAGACAATTCCAGATTTCATGCGATGTCAATTATATTATGCAGCCTTGCCATAAAAACAACAAAAAGATTTGCAGGCAATGACGGAAGCCACACTGTGGAATGCCTGAGACAATGATTTCAGTGAGGTAACTCCTCTGCCATTGTGACAGATGAATTGATGTGCTTAAAATTTTAATGGGGAAATGCTGTTAAATATTGAGAAATATTGAGGTATCCCATGAAAGCCCTAATTTATATGTGTTTAACAACATATACACTTAGTCCATTTTCTGTTGCTGTAACAAAATACCTGAGACTAGTTAGTTAATACAGAATTGAAGTTGATTTGGCTCTTGTTTCTGGTGTCTGGGAAGTCCAATAGCATGGCACCAACTTCTTTCTTTGTTGCATCTGGTGAGGGATTCTTGCTACATCCTAACATAGTGGGAAGCATCACACAGTAGACTGAGCAAATGTGCTGGCTCAGGCCCCCTTCCTCTTATAAAGCCATGACTGCCCTCATGGGACCCCATCTTCTTGAACTCATCTAATTCCCAAAGGCCCTACTTCAAAATCCATCAAATTAGGAACTAAGTTTCCAACATATGAACTTTGAGGGATATAGTCAAATTACAGCAGGTGCATTCATCAAAATATAGACATAAATGCCATTTTCTTAATTTGTAAAAACTTCAATAATATGTTATTTTTCAAACTATTATCAAACTCTATTTATCCAATTCTCTTAATTTATATTTTCCCTCTTACCTGCTAAAAAAACTTAATCTCTATCTCCTTGATTTCAACAAGATATTTCATTTTCCAAAAGAAAAACAAATACAAAAAAATAAATTTTTATTATTGTGTTACAGAAAATAGGCAAATGAAAATAATTTATTTTTCTTATGTCTATGATTTTAATGATTTGGAGTTATTTTACATTGCTTCCTTTTCTGGTTATAACATGCATAGCAATCCAGATGGGTAATATATAACCAATTTGATTTGTTTTCTTAAATCATTTAGTATAGCTCAGGAGATTACCCTTACCCACAACCACTGCTTATTGCTTTGTGTGTTACCTTCATGCGTAATTTAATCCTTTCAGTTTCTTTACATATTGTAGCCTCTGCCATCCTATATATGTGGAAGAAACTTTTAACACCTCACCTGTTATCCTTTTTTTTTTCTGGTACTGGGGATCGAACTCAGGACCTTGTGCTTTCGAGGCATGTGCAGTGCCATTGAGCTAAATCCCCTGCCCACCTGTTATACTTCTTAAGGCTGTGTTGTAAGACCTTGATAATACCAGCCTGCCTTGTATTTTGCCCTTCTTTTATTCTTAATTCATCCCCCTATGATTGTTAGTTTCAAGAGTAATTTCTCAAAATTTACTAAAGAGAGAGTAAGAACATAGGTTTTGTACTTGGCTGTATATATAACTATTGAACCTTGGGCAATTTCTTCCATTTACGTGTCTTCACCTTTGAAATTAAATCTTACAGAGATTAAAATATAACTTATGTAAGCACCATGCTTAAAACACCCTAAATACTGGTCAATATTTTTATGATTAGCATATTTTAGAGAAAATCTTATATTGCACAAAAGCATATTGAGAAGCAAACACAAATACTGTTTGTAGAATTTCATGTGAGTCTTTTGGAAGGAATAATCTATTTTACTTTAAGTACCAGATTATTTATGTGAAAGCATACACCACAACAAAAGATATGCAGTTGTTACTGTATGGTTGTTTTGGGGTTCACTTTCATCTTTCTCACTGGATCCTGGGCAAAATTTTGAACCCCAAAAGAGGGAAGTCTCTCTTGATACCTACTTGAGTTCTTTCCTGTGGTCCCTGGTTGTATGTGTTACATTATGGCCTTTTTGGAACTTCACAGTCACTTCTGTCATTGTTCCACAAGGACTGAACCAGTCCACACACAGTTCTCTAGAGAGGGAGAAAGACCAAACACTGACCCTCAAACCCATGTTCTAGACACTACATAAAGTCCTTCCAGAAGCCTTGTGGGTTAGGCCTTTACTTAATTCCTAATTTTATGCAGCTTACTATTTCTGAATCAAAAATCATCATAGTCTTAAAAATATGAGTGTACTTAGGCCACCAGTGGAATAGATGAATACGATTAATATGAATTGTCTTGAAAATTCAGAGCACATGATAGCTATAGTTACAATGTCATATGGCTATAATGGAGAGAGGTATTTTGTGAAGCATTAATCTTGTACATTAAATATCTGCCAATGGGATTCAAGTATTTCAGTCTTTGTGTGTATATGTGTGTGTGTGTGTGTGTGTGTGTGTGGCTTCTGTATGAAAAAGCAGGCTGGACACAGTGCCTTGTTTTGATGGTAGCTCAAAGAAGCATCTAGTCACAATTAAACCATTTGTATATGAATAAATTCAGTGAGAAGTAACAGTAAAAACTGCTTGATTGATATAAACATCTTATTTCCAATTGCTTGAAGTCTATAGAAGAAATAATTTAAGGCTCTTCATTACACTTTCGTTAGTAGAGTTAAAATTTCTATTTCAGTTGGTCAGAATATAATGTTCTGTAACCCTATAATTTTACAGGTCCTGTTTTTTTTCATTACTTGACCTGTAAAATTACAAATTTGTGGAATATTAAAATAGAAACTTTTGGGCCGGGGACTTAGCTCAATGGTTCCTCCACCTGCTTTGCAAGCACAAGGTCCCGAGTTCAATGCCCAGTACCAAAAAATAATAAAAAATAAAATAGAAACTTTTATTCACACAAGGAAGAGATGGTTCATTTTATTCTTTTCCTTTATTTCAGTGTCATTTGATTACAGAGTTTATATTGGCTCCTACAACTTCAAATAATACAAAGTATAAAATCAAGTCTTTTCTTCCCTCCTTGATATTCACAGCCTGAAAGGACAACCACCATTTACAGTTCAAAAGTGACGGACCTGGCAACAGATGTTTTCTGTGCTCGTGCAAATGTACAGATGTCTTCCTGGAAAAACTGATGCGCACATTCTTGAAGAGTTATAACCATTGCTGTTTGGAAAAAAATCATTTTTAGCTTGATGATGTTAGCCATTATGCTAAAGGGAGTGATTTTATGAACACTGACCAAGCAGTTTGTGTTAGGCCAGCTTTCCAAGTTACTAGTTTGAATCAGTAGTATTTTATAATGGGTTTAAAATCAAAGGCGTTTAGTGACATATTTTGCCCTTGTTACTCTGTTCTGCAGTGTCCATGGAAAGAGTGCAGTATTCGGGAAAGATGAAAGAAACAGCCTTTGTCAGCTAGAGGAATAAAACTGAGTTAATCCTAAATTGACAGTTTAAAGGCTTTAAAATTACTTGTTGCAATCAAGAAATAATCCATCCAGTCTATCATCTTGTTTCAGCTTATTAGTTGTGGAATTTCTTAGGTGATTCTTTAAACTATATATGTTAAAAATGCTAAAGTTGTTCATGGAGAATTCCTGCTGCTATGAGATAGAGCACCTGTTGGTGTTCCATACTGTCATAGTAGGTAATGGGGCCAAGGGGAAATTTGTGAACGACGAGTTCATTCTCCTTAGAGCAAATGTGTCTTGTTTGCATGTCCGTCCTGCCCCGTACACTTGTCAGTGGGAAAAACATTGCACAGTGGGTAAAGATTGAGCATCAAGGTGTCGCAATTTCTGCATGCAAAAATAATGTGCTCAAATTAAAATTTAAAAGTAGTATAACATGTAAAAAAACATTTAGGCCTCTTCAAACCCTTTGTGAAACAAGGTAATATGTAAATATATAAATTAAAACCAAGGGTGTTATTTCCGGGAATACCTCTGAATGGTAAAATTAATATTATTTTATGACAGTGGTTTAATCATATTTCTTTTCTTAGTTTAGACCTTTAAAATTTTTATTTTTAAAAATTTGAATGTTTTTATTTGTATAACATTACCTTCTCCTCAAAAATAATGTCCTACACTGTTTTACTGAAGCTTTGATTTTACATATTTGAACTACATCTCTGGTCTCTCATGAAGCTCATGGTCTTTCAGGGGAGGCACATAACTTGGCCACTACAGTGGACCCTGTTAAGACTTAATCTGTGGGAGCTCAGCATAGAAGCCTCCCTCATCTGTGGTGTGCAACTGGAGAGTCGCTGTCACGGAAGGCTTCCCTGTAGAGGTGATATCCGAGTGATAGATGAAACCTCAGTCCTGCAGCTAGCAGTGAGCTCAGGGCATCTGCAAAAACCTAGCCACCCAAGAAGTGAGGCCACAGTCAAGTGCCTGATGGAAGTTTAGTCTGGATGGAGCATAGAGGAATTAGATATTTATTATGAGAGTAATACATGTTCATGTTAAAAATTTGAAAAATACAGGAAATAAGAAAACATAATCATAAACTTTGAGTTGCAGATTTAAGTAATGTGGACATTTTGCTATGTTTTTGTCATGCCTTACTTTTCTGTTCATAGGAAGTATGTTTGGTGGGATCTTAGTACGCCTTAGGCAGTAGAGATGTATATAAACATAAAATGCATTCCTGTATATGAAAACATGTATTAGGTAAAGTTGTAATCAAACCTTTTTTTGCATTAAAATATATTTAAATACTTTTAATGTCATTAGATACAGTTGTGTTTTAAGTGAGTGAATCATCTTAGGTTGAAATGTCTTATTTTTGTGAATAGAAATACAGTCTTAAATTTGGCCATCTCGATTTCATCTCTGCAGGAAGAATGTTTCTTGAACCTAGAGGCTCCTATATCCAGAGTATGCGGTTATGACACACCATTTCCTCACATTTTTGAGCCATTTTATATCCCAGATAAATGGAAATGCTATGATGCCCTTCGAAAAATGATCAACTACTGACTACATAGGTAGGTGTGGCCTACATTTTGAGAAATCTAATGTGTACCCCTGACAGGACGTGCTGTTACCTATGGCTCAGTAATCATTGGTGTGTTTTCTTTGGTTAACAGCAACTTTCAGAATAAAATGTGTACTTCAGAAAAAACTAAAAATCTCTACTAGTATAGTTATCATTAGTTGAACTATGTTGAGCATTTGTATTACACAATTTACAGAAAATATCATTCAATATGTCAACATTGAATATGTAATCAAATATATCTTACACTGTGATTACTCCACATTTTACCTTCATTTTTGTATATTGTTACAACTACTCAAACTTTTCATGAATAGAGATCATTTCTGTTACTTAAAAATGATTCCTCAAACACCATTAACTTAAGCTATTGTTATTTATGTGATGATTCTTAGCATTCACAAATTTACCTTTATATTATCTGAAAAATCGTTATTTTTAGCAAACATCCTCTTTATTATGTAAATCGAAAATTTTTACTAAAAAACAAATACCAAAACCAAAAGCCCAAGAGCACTACTACGATTTCCAGAAACTTTTCTGATTGGTTAAGTGAGTGTTTTTAAAATATCGCATAATAAATGGTATTTTTTCACAGTGATTTTCTAACTCATGCTTATTAGCTCTTAAACAGTGTTATTCTAATAAAAATGAATGTCATTACTGGTAATTAAGTTAGTTTTTCAGAGTTTCAATATAGAAATTGCTCTCACTGACAAACTGATTTTGAAATACTTCAAAATGAGTAGATAGGGTTAAGATACTTTACATTTCAATATCTTAAATTGTCCAAAAATAATAATACCATTTGAAAAACCATGATTCTTCAAAAGAAAAAGGAAATAAGCTTTGTATAATAACACATTCTACATTTTTTAAAGATAAACAAAAATGCTATGCCACTTGAATTCTAAATAGAGCCTACAAAGTTAGCCCGTCTAAAATCAGACAGATGTCTTTAGATTTGCACAGATAAAGAACATAACACCCCCCCCCCCCCCCGCGACCTGCCACTTTCCATAATCTGCTCGTTTTCTGTGGTTATGCTCTAAGAGGGCAGGTTAGAGAATTTCTTCTCTTTGCTCTCCATGTTGCTGCCTTAATGGGCTGCCTGTGGAGAATCAAGGTCATCATGGTAGCCATATGCCTTGTTAGTAAAGTAGTATTTAGATGCTGGGTTTAAATTTGAATTGCACATTTGGTTTTAAACATAAGAAAAGTGTTTAAATTGCTACTGAAAATGATAGAACAATGTTTCTATCCTAAAATTAAGTATATCAAAGAAAATAGACCTGCATGCAACTGAGAATGTTTGTAATTTTTACTGATTTCTTTTACAGAAAAATGGGAAGATTATAAGTAGATACAGGAATATTTTTCTGAATTTTTATATTTGCTCAGACTAACCTCTCCTTGAACAATAGAGGTTTTGTGAAATGAACTATCATGGATATTGGCTGAAAAGTTATAAATTAATTATTGTATTAACGGAAATGAATTGATTCCCATTAAGAGTGTTTCAGATTACTTTCTAAAAATGCTCCACATGGTGACCTTATAAATTCTGTTTAATTACATTTGTTAATATTGGGTGTATATTGTATCTAATAAAGCAAAGTCAAATTGTCTTCAAGTTGTGTGTGTCTTCTTTTTCCTTTAGTCAAAAGGATCCTTGTTGAAGAGTAGTAGGTTGTTAACTTGTTAATTGAATCTGAAGTGAAATATGTACTCTAGAAATCCTAATTATTCAACTTCATTGTACCTGATTTAGTTCTTTATGGCTACCATGGTTGTATGCTGGCAAAACTTCTGGAATATTTGTCTTTATTCACCTTGCCTCAGCAAGGTCACTGATAAACGTCCTCGCTTCTCCAGAGTGGTGTGGGTGGGATAAGACTGTCCTGCTGCCTCCCTCTGTACCCCATGAGAGCATGATCCTGTTTGCTGTCAAATTGCCAAGCTTTAGCTATAATTGTATTTTTTTTTTGCTTAGATGTTACAAAGCACATATTTATTCTATGTTCTTTATATTATTATGTACATAAGAAAAATGACAGCAGGGGAGACTCTGACAGGAGGAGCCTGCTCATTGGAGACGTTGCCACGGCCTCCCTCTGCATCCTCCACTGTTCACCATAGTTCTAGAAGTCTGGGACATCCTAAGTCATCCCACTGCAGAGTCCTTCACCCTTTGGCCCAGCCCTCAGAGATGAAGTTAATATACCTACCTTCCCCCACTTAATCTCAGAAGCGTTTCCTCTCATGATACCACCAGAAAAGTCTACCCTAAAAGTAGCAAAACAGACCTGTCATGTTTTCTTTTGTCCATGAACACTGAAGAAATGGTCATTTTCTTAGGATTACAAATTTCTTTGAAACTGTAATCTACAAAGCTATATCCTGTTTGGTTTTACCAGCAGTTGGAGGAGGATACAGAAAGTAACATATATAGGTGGCCAGAAAGTTGGAGACAAATTTAGAACATTTTATCACAGATTCTGGACTGGAATGGACTAAAATAATGAGCCAAATGGTTTGTTAAGGGTAAAAATGAAGCCCTGCCTTGGGATTAAAAATAGAAAAACCTGTTAAGTATAGGATAGGAGAAGATGTAGTTTGTCAGCCACAAGTTTGGAAAAGATTTAGGGAATCCAGTTGGCTTGCTGCACAAACATTTTGAGTTTAAGATGCCAAAACTCAGTAAGGACCTTGGCTTTGGTCTTTGTTCTCCTCCAAAGGCTCAAGGCATCCTGTAACGAACTCAGTTTCACATGCTCAGGCCAGCAGAACAGAGAATATATGGCAGGCAACCCCAGCTTGGCCTGTGATGGGTCATAGTTTAACATAATGATTGAGTTGAACTAATGTTTTTGGTTGATACTTATGATTTTATTTGAACTTTTTATTTTATATTGCCATTGTGTCATTTTTAATGTAATTTTTCTATACATTGAGCATTTAAACAATTTTAGCTATTTGAATTCTTGTTTTTTAACTGTTTTTCAAATATCTGAAACTCTGGGGATGATCTGTATCCTAAGCATGGGAGCCTGAGAGCATTTTGCTGTCTCCATTTGGCAATGCCATTTCCACCAGTGAATACCCGTGTTGTTCCAAAATAACTTACAGTTGATACTAAAGTTAGTCTATAGCTCAACGCATACAGATACATCTTTACTATGGTGAAATATATATTTTTTACATGAAACAAATATCCCATATTATAAAAATAAGAGAACAGTGGCAGGAGATGTTAAGTGAATGCCAAGTCCAAATTCCCCTAGTATTCTCAGCCACTCCATAATGTCTGCCCCATGACCATACAGATAGATAAGCTAATTTCATTTTCTATAGTTCAAATTGTTCAATTACTTTAGAAAAAATATAATATGTATGTTCTGTAGAACTGATGGACACTATCCCAGCTAAGTAAACAGACCTGTGTACTTTAGGAAAATAAATGAAGAATGAAATCCAGAAAGCAACCTCAATTCAGTCTACTAGGTTTAATTCATATCCCCTAGAAACACTTCATGAGACTCTTTAGCAGAAGGTACACAGAAGGTAAATATTTAGTTTAAAGAAATCCTTTCTCTGTAGCTTGCCTATAGTAGTCACATGTGATTTCTGGCTGCCCAGCATCCCTGCCCCAACTGTCTAGAAACAGCACTGCAGTTTGTTTAGAGAACTACTCCTTCCCACCACATGTGGTTCTGGAGGGTCTGCCAATCCCAACACTGTTCAGTATTGGCCACAGAGATGGCCCTGACCCAGTCAGGTACCCAGAATAGAAATCAGGTTATCCTTGAAGAAACAAAAGTTTGTTAGCCTCAGCCTTGTCAATGACACAAACTTTTACCTGCTTCAGGCACACCTGAAGTTAAAACTGACCAAGGTTAACCGGCTAGACACACAGACTGCATTACCCCAAACAGAGAAGTGCTTGGCTGAGAAGTGAGTAGCATGGCTCCTAAGGACTCATGTAGGAATTTCTGGAGATACATGAGGTTTGCAGATCCAGATATAGTCCCCTGGGCCACCAGGTTTGGAAAGCAATAGAAAATATTCATGTATGGGCAAAGACATAGAAACACTAGTATGTACCCAGATGATACCTCCATAAATATAAAAGATGTGTACTAGAAAAATGACATATAAAACAAGATAAGTGTGAAAATGAAAATGGGAACTATATATGTGTGTATGTTATTTATATATAATCGATTGTTCATAGAGTTATATAGTTTCCATTTTCACTTTATTGTATACATAGTTCCCAATTTCACTTCCAGATGATAGATAGATAGATAGATAGATAATAGATAGAGTGAGCCAAAAGGATGTATACACACCTCAGGAAAAGAATAGTATGATTGATGTTTTTTCAACAGATGGTGTTACTCTCTTATGGGAGACCCTAGTGGATATTGTATATCACAGAAAACCCGTTACACTGCCAGCCCTTGAAGCAATTGAAAATGCATGTGCAGCAATCTCGATGACCGAGGTTACGCAAGCAGCAGTTTGCCATACTAATAAATGTGTACAAGCTAATGGCCAGCACTTTGAGCACGTCTTGTAGAGGCCAAAGGTAGCTTGTAATAATCTCATGATGTCTCAATAAACTTAGTATTAAAATATTTATACAAAATTTTCTTTTCCTGAAGTATATACATTTTTTGGCTTTCATATATATATATATATATATATATATATGGAGCCATATGTACATATATATTATATATAATATATATTAATATATATTATATATATGTCTTCATATTGTAAAAATAAAATGGTGTTGATCATAAATATGACTTAACAAAGACTGAATTAGCATTACAAAATAAAGTAAAAAATTCTAAACTATCTTCAGTAATAGTAGTGTAACTGAATTATTCTGTTGTTAACCCTAACGTTTTTTAAATGCTCTAAAAATTAAGTTAATCACAAACAATTAAAAGAAGTATATATGTTTTCACATTGTACCATTTATATTTAGTTTAATTTATTTCACAAACATTTAGTTGGTACCTTTTCATGGCCAGGCACTGATTATTAGGTAGAAAGTTAGCTAAGAAACAGTACCAGCAACAAAATAATGTAAAACAAAACAACCAGAAAACCAAAACCAAAAAATCCCAAACAAACCAAAAACCATAAAAAACAAACCAAAACCAAAAGTAGCATGGAAAGAAAAAGAGGATTAGGTATGGCCAGACAAAAAATTAATAAATGTAATAAGGTAAACTTTCTAGTTAATAAGAATTTAAGTTAAGAAAGTTCAATTAAAAGGAAGAGTCTTCAAGTAAGTTGATCTAAAAAGGTTAAAATTTGAAAATGGAAACATTAGCTAAAGAGAATGAAGAAAAATTCGGCAGAATTCATAAAAGACAAAATAGTAGACAAAGGGAAATATGCACTGGATATTGACAAAAGGAATATACCACAGTAAAGGTATGACAGTTAAATCACTTATGTTCAAACATGTAATATTAAAATATAAACAAATATGCATAAATGTAGAAGAAGATATGGCTGAACAGTTGTCGAAGTCAACTGTATCTCACTTTGAATTCAGAAGATGAAGTGGATCATAATAAAATACTATTGACCACTTTAACTACATAACTAATAATGTTGAATCATAAAAATATATATTTAATTTTTTCTTTACAGAGAATAGATAGCCTTTTAAACTGGGAACATGCAATTAAAATTATTGATCATGTCCCAAAGCACAAAGGAAAATAACTATAAATTTCCCCCAAAAAAGTAATAAAAAGCATGTTTTCTGACAGCATTCCAAATTAATAACAAATATTTTGGAAATAAAAAGCTTCATAACTATGAAAGCAAAAATAATTGTAAAAGCAATTACAAAATATTTAGCATATGAGTCACTGATGTGCATCAGCCAAGATTCTATTCAGAGGTAAATTCATAGACTTTAAATTTTCTAAAGAAGAAAACTGAAAATATTAATGTAAGAATAAAGGAGGAAAAAATATAAGAATGATGAAAACTAAAAGAGAAAGTATCAAATAAAAAAACAAAATTTAAAAATTATTTTTTTCATTTTACTTTAGATTGTTGTATCCTGTGCCATGGACTTTTATGTGATCATGATAGTTACATATAAAGACCATTCAGGGCCAATACTGTGCAAGTTCTTTCCTTAAATGGGAGGAAATAATTTTGTAAAATCTAATGATTTGCCTGAGTTTTGATAAAGTTTTTTTGTTAAAGACTAGCATATTTTATTTCACCATTTTAGTTAAATAATTAACAGGGTCTTGATTTGCTAAAAGGCTTTCAGTTTCTTGCTAATGCTTACTTGCCTACCCTACTAAGTATTTTATTTACTGTGAACTCCCATAAGATTTAGGGGCTGTAAAGAAACTATTTCAGAAATTTTTTTGATCATTTTGAACATCTACCCACACAGGAGTGATCAAAGCATACAGTGAATGTTTAAATTTATTAGAGTAAAAGATCCATTGCTATTAATCTTTAAAATATTCCCCCTTGCCTGGGACATATTTATCCCATCGTGCTTGCCATTTTCTGAAGCAGTTTTGGAAATTCTCTCTCTTGTGTGTGTGTGTGTGTGTGTGTGTTTGTGTGT